TTGTAGCATTCAACAAAATAGAATTTAGCATTCTTGTGGATGTGTTAGCGGAACATCTAGTTCTGAGTATGCATCTCCATAAGTTAGGTAAAGTGGAATCGGCGGCGGTGTACATATAGGATGACGAAACACTACCTTTGCGAATGTACGACCTCCAACCGATTGAAACGTCAGATCTTCCACAATGCTCCCAGCCCCAACCATACGCAGGCCGGCACACTTAAAGATTTTTCAAAATCGAGCGAACTTTTCGAAAAGGATTTCAACCAACCTACCACACCTCAATTGAGCAGTGTCATTTACATGGCATCGTGCAAGGGCTCGTAAGACTTTAAAGCTGTGAGATGCCAAGCATACCATTATATTGTATACACTGTAGTGTAGTATACTTATGGTGGAAGGAGGAATGTCAGCTTAAGTTTAAGTCGAAGTTTTGACGATGACATTCCGAACTGGCGAAAGTGACGACTTGGGTTCGTTTTCCAGAAACATTATCTACTGTTTAAGAAATTATATGTTGCTGAAAACGGTGCGAAATATAAATACAGATCCTGTGACCAGGAATTCAAGTAATTCGCAGGACTTTATACAAAAGTATGGATATAGCATTGAGCTCCATCAAGTTCAGTGCAAAATCATCAGGTGATATAAACATTCAGTACTGAGCGAAGATGAAGACAATAATGCGATCGAGATGATAAAAATGTTAGGAGGGGACGAATCATCGAATATAAACGTACCTACGCTTCGTCATATTTATTAATTGTCTTGAATTTATGTATGGTATATCAAATAAATGAAGAACTAAATAAACGAATTCAGCAATTTCTGACATACCTGATGTTCGTTCTCCTAAGCTTCGTCCATGATATAAAAATTCTATAAAGTAGCTTCGCTTCGAAATTTCCGACACTAAACGTGTTTGCTTAGAAATGTTTGGTCTTACCACTTATAAATATTCAATTGATTTGGACCGCGGAGGGGACTAACCTATTCAAAATCCCTCTTATGTCCGTTTGTAACAGGTGTTCTCCAAAAGTTACTGACCGAATGACGAAATTTCATCAGATAGTTTATATGATACTTGGAAAGGTTTCAAAAAAAAAAAAAAATCGGAAAGTGGACCCCTGACTGACCTTTTCGAAAAATTCTTATTTATGGATCGAATTACTTGAAACTCGGTACATAGGAAGATTACACTTCTCTCCAAAAAATGGACCAGAACCCGACCTATTAAAAAAAGTCGAGTAGTTCTCTCCGGAAAATGAATCGAAGACTCGCCTATTCAAATCGTCGGGCTATTCCTCTCTCCAGGAAGTGGACCAATGTCAATGGTTAAACCAAAAACCTGTATTCCCACGAATGATTAATTTTTCATCCATTCAATGAGTACGAGCAACAGCAAATCGTTGCAGGGTACAGTTAGTTATAAATACTTTGCAAGTGATGTGGGCATACCTCTTTCGTCGTCTAAGTATTTGTTAAGACTAGCTTTCACCAGAAGGGCCAACAGGGGCAGATGGCAAAATGACACCAGGTGCCACTGACCGAAGTGAACAAAACTAAGTATTTACTCCTTCAAACAGGACCCTATGAGCGTAACAACCGGCGTCATAACCTTGCCTTGTGTTGTGGGAATTCGTGGTAGAAGGATGGGCTGCTCCTGTAACGACTTTTTACCACAGCTGCAGGGGTATAGATGAAAAAATCAGTGTAACATTATCTCAGTCACTGCCCAGCTCTCAGTGCGGTTCGTTATTGTTTTATCGGAAATTTCTTCTTCAATTTCCTTGTAGGTCTTGCATCAGTAGGCATCATTAATCGCCTGAAATGTATTTGGCGGTCAATTTTTTCTAAGAGAAGATGTTAATGTCAGATAGGTATGAGGCTCACTACAAAGAGGGAATGAAACTACCTTTAATATAATCTATCGTGGCTTCTTCGTTACATCGTTACTGAAGTAAACTGTTTCACTGTTCTATCTCGCCACTTCATCGGAAAATTCAAATTTTCCTACAATATATCAGGTGCTGGTGGAAAGATAGACTGTGACACCTCGTGCTTAATGCATCATACCTGCAATGCTCAATGCAGTTGAAACAAATAATTTAATATACCCAATCTATACGTGATAAGTTGTATTTGGTTGCCCCAAAAGAAACGGAAAATGTTTCTTACAGGCGACAACTTTAATATGGAACCAACAAACGAACATTTTCGCCATATTTTACTTTATTTTATAAATTTAAAGTTAGATCTAATTTTAGCTACATACAAATTGCATGTAATCTAATAATAATAATCTGTTTAGTTTTTTTTTTTTTTGTATTATTAGTAGAGAAGTTTATTGTGTTTTCTGAACAGGATATACTAAAATTTATTCAGCAAGCAGTATAGCAGTTGTTTGTTACAGCCGTTACATACATCTGAATTCGTTCATTGAACAGTTTATTTTGATTAAAAACATAATTATTTTATAAATGCTTGTATTTTTATTTATTTATTTTTTTTTTTAATTTTATCAAACAATTATTGCGTTGCCTCAAAAGAAATCAGCGATTTAAAAAACAGACGGCGTTGACACCTCTTTTCAACAGCTTGGGACCATTTAATTGTATTTTTTTGCTTATTAGCTTATTTTGGAAAAAAGCAAGGCGAATTTAACAAGGTGGAGTTACTAGGTTTGATTATGTTTTGTATATTTGTTTACATTTTTATTTTTTGTTATTTTTATTTTGAATTTCTAATTGTATAGCTGGAAATTTTCAAATAAGATTGGTGACTGTTTCCAAAAAAAAAAGAATCTGTTCCGATCTTAGTTTGTGTTCAATTGAAGTGGCTTTTAACCCGTGACCAACTCACTTAGTGCAATATGTCCATATTGATACCGCTATTATGAGACTTTTATCTTCACTTTCTCAAATGTTCGAACCATTTCGTGTACATTATAAAAGCAACGAAATTGATAGTTTTCGTTGAAGAAAGCGCAGCGTGACAGACAAAGAAGTATTAGTGTTCTATAGAATCTTCTTCTATGGCAAACATCATTATAGGAAGAGCATGTGTTTCCATGAACCCATAGATCGTTGCACGAGATCTCATTCTTTGCAAGTTTGACAAAGGCAAGTCTCAGCATATTCATTTCCATGACAAAGGTAATCCTGCATCTACAGTAATTCATATTCCTGCTATCTGATTATTGAGAACCTGCTTTTTCATCGAGCTTTGAGCCGCCTGTCAAGATGGGAATGGCTTCTTGATCGAGGGTGTTTGTTTTCAACAATTCACTCCGGTTTTGGATTCTTGTCGAAGTAATCCGTTGGGTTTTGTATGCACATAGAAATGGGAGTTCGATTCCAAATTCCACAAAATGAAGGATCTACATCTATCTGGATTCATGCTTGCCAACAAAATTTAGAAAAGGGGTTTAACATGGATATACCATTTTTAAAAAGAAAGATTACGTTTGTACTGTGGTTAAATTAACATATCCAATGTTAACATTGAATAAATAATAATTATATGGAATGCAGTAATTCTAGTAATTTCTTATGACCATAGCAATTATAGAACTTTCTCCAATGCATGTTTAGTGTAATGTGAATAAGTCTTATAGCCATTGCCAAAAAAAAGTATATTAGTATACGTTCTTTGCTATTGATTACAAAATTCTCTTCCGTCCCTTCAAGAATTCCCTAACATCCCATAAAATAAAACTACTTTACTGTTAATGTCATTTGAATAAGCAAACTTTGATATTTAAGCTCATCTTTTCTGATTTGTTTTGAATTATTAATTCAATTTGACAAAAGCGAATTGTACGAATCCGTCATGAATTAGACAAATGTTACAATGAAAACAAAAACAAAATACACGTTAATTGTTGTTTTTGTTCTCCTGCTCTCACCTTTATGAATTCGCCTTGGAAAAAATTACACAAAGGAACATTTTCGTCATATTTTACTTTATTATTTCCTTAAAGGAACACTGCATTGTTGAAGTTGGTTTGTCAAATTCCGTTCGGGAGATTTTTCACTCAAAGATAAGCCACGTCTTGCAATTGAGCGTCAGATTGGAAAGAAGTTTAGTATACCAAAATCAACCGTTCATACTCATATACGTCTTGGACTGGTAAAAAATTTGATATTTGGGTACTATATGTTTTGAAAGAAATTCATTTAACAAGCCACTTCAACGCTTGTGATACGCATCTTAAACGCAATTAATATGATACGTTTTTGAAGCAAATTATAAATGGAGTTAAAAAATGGATGGTTTACAATAATGTCAAACGAAAACGATGATGGTCTAAACATGATGAAGCGCCACAAACCAATTCAACGGCTGATACTCTCCAAAAAAAGATTATGCTATCTGTTTGGTGGGATTGGAAGGGTGTGATATATTTTGAGTTGCTTCCAAAGAACCAAACGATTAATTCGGATATCTACTGTGAACAACTGGACAAATGGAATACATCCATCAACGAGAAGCGGCAAGAATTGGTCAATCGTAAAAGTGTCATATTCCACCAGCACAATGCTAGACCGCACAAATCTTTGGGCACACGTCAAAAACTGATAGTGCTTGGCTGGGAACTGTCCTGACCTTACACCGTCAGACTTACCCTTTGCTTCGATCTTTGAAGAATTTATTAAAAGGTAAAGCTTTCGAAAGTGACAAGGCTATAAAATCTAACTTGTTTCAGTTATTTGCAGATAAAGGCCAGTTCTATGAGCTGGAATAATGATGTTGCCGGAAATATGGTGAAAGGTGATCAGATAAAATGGAAATTACATAATTGATTAAAGTTCAATACAAAGTTTAAGAGAATGTATTTACTTTCTTTTAAAAAATTGCCGGTGTCTTTTGGAGCAACCCAATATATTAATAATAGTTGTGTACCGATTTAAATCTAATTGTTAACTATTGTAAACTTAAAAACAATGTACAGTATGTGATCTGAAAATGAATTAATATCTTTAATATAATAAACTTACCTATCAAATATTCTTGCCTCTTTAAGCACGTTGCCCAAATTAATATATGCATCAAGAAAATTAGGATCCAAAGTTACGGCTTTTTCAAAATGGTGTATTGCTAACCAAATTTCGCCTTGAGCATTAAAAACACAGCCCAAGTTGCTCCAAGCGACTGCGAATCCGGGGCATGTTTCAATTGCCTTTAAATAGCATGCCTAAAAAATATCCAACAAAGTTAAAATGCTTATTACTTACTTTATAACCAGGAACAAATATTAAATAATAAGTTATGATATGACATATATGAAAACTGACATTGCAACAGCTTATACTGAGCCGCCTCTGAACGGCTGATGTTTTTTTTTTTTTGTTAGGAGCTTTATTTCATGTCAGGTCATTAGGATTTAAAAAAAAAACACATAAATTCCAAAAATATTATAAAGTCTTTATTTCAGTCAATAAAACGATAGATATACTTTAATATTTTTAAATTATTTCATGTAAATGCTTTCCGTAACTGGGGTGTAAATTGTCCAACATATCGGCAGGAATGTGTATCGAAGAACGCCCGTCAACAAACACAAGGAAAGTTCGATGTTGAAAAGCTGCAATCCCAACAGACTGCCGAACGATTTTCTCGACTTGCAATCCTGCTCTCTGAGAGCACTCATTTGTAACTCGGTATACGGGACCTGTGGGACGGCATTTCAAGCTCGTTACGAACAGCTGCAAAGGAAACTATTGGATTTCGTAAAGGTGGCAAAAACAGCTATTACGATGAGGACTGCCGTGTCGCAGTGGATAGACGACTAACTTGGAAGGGACATATTTCAGCCAAAAAGATGTAGCTGAAGCTTAAATTTTCCACTTTATTTTCGCTTTTAAGCAAGAAATTGCGACTATAAAACCGATATGGACGTATGGAATCCTGTTGGGGTACAGACAAATCTAGATATAATACAAAGATTTCAATCGAAGACATTGAGAATAGTAACAGGCGCACCATGGTACATGCGTAAATAATCAAGGAAAAGATTGAAATCATTACACAAAAGTACAAAGCAAAACTGCACCATCGTCCCAACTCTTTGGTTATACCCTTGGCCTCCACAATAAGTCAAACACGCCTGAAAGAAGGGACTTACTACCCTAGTTAAGAGCGACATTGAGCCAACAGCCCATCATTAGCTAATGGGCTATCATATTTTTATTTAGTTTTAAAGATCTGATAAGTTACTGTGAGCCTCCTGATAAAGAAGCAGACAATGAATAAATACAAATGTTAGAAAACAAAATCTACTGAATAGAAGTGATAGTGGAGAATCCGGAGATGGTGAGCCCAAAACCTCAATCGATCACGATGGAAAAGACGTTCCATTACCTGACCATGAAGTTCGAATACCAATCGCCCGTTTAAAAAACAACAAAGCCGCTGGAGCTGAAGATCTTTCGACAATGTGCGAGTTAACATTTGCAAGTTAACATAACACAAGCTAATTTCTGTAAACTAACATATAGGTTAACATATGTAAATTAACATAATAAAATATAACATATGCAAGTTACCATGTGTAAGCGCAGTCAGAATTGGGCAGGACCTCTCCGGTACCAAACGATGTTTCAGACAGGGTGACTCTTTGTCGTGTGATTTCTTTAATTTAATGCTGGAGAGAATAATAAGATCTGCAGAGCTGAATAGGGAAGATACAATCTTCTATAAGAGTGTACAACTACTAGCGTATGCCGATGAACGGGGACAAGACGAAATATCTCCTGTCATCAAACAAACAGTCATCGCATTAGCGACTTGGCTCCCACGTCTCTGTTGACAGTCATAACTTGGAAGTCGTAGATAATTTTGTCTATCTGGGAATCAGCGTTAACACCAATAACAACATCAGCCTTGAAATCCAGCGCAGAATCACTCTTGCTAACAGGCGCTACTTTGGACTGAGTACACAAATGAAAATCAAAGTCCTCTTTGACGAAAACCAAACTCTACAAGCCCCTCATCCTTCCCGTACTGCTATATGGTACGGAAGCATGGACGATGACAACATATGATGAGTTGGCGTTTGGGTTTTCGTAAGTTTTATGGTCCTTTGCTTTGATATAGTTCAGTAAATCAAGAAGCAGCGGCTACAATGCAGTACCCTTCGATGGAAGCAGAGGAAGAGGAAGACCTCCACTATAATTCTAACGATTTTAATAACAATACGCTAACCAAGCGACAAATATTTTTAAGTTATTAGCAACATCGACAAAATATTGTTATTTCATTAAGTTTGAAGTAAAGTAAAGTAAATTGGGAAATTGCCTAAGTCATATAAAAATTAAAATAAAATTATAAACAAAAATTGCCTTTGAGCAATTGGTATACATTTAATCCCAAGATGAGGAGGTATTGTACCCTTCATCAATGGGTAGAAGTTTGCTTCGGTAAATTGAACATAGTTTCCACTGCAGCGCAACTGAGATTTTTGATAGCCAAATAAGGGCAGAAAATAACAGCATTATCTACTGAGAAACAGGTAATAATATAACTTTAAATATTTTTTCATTTTGTACACTATTAAAATGTTTGAACCGAATTGCGATTCTATGCCACTGAATGCTACCAATGTCCCGTCGGAGAGCAATTGGAAATTGCTCTGAGTTTGTCGTCAGTAAGCCATTGTATTCATCGCGGGACAGAATCAGTCAACCGTTCAATGTTTCTTTGGGCTATCGATTACACTCATGTATCCATCATGAGTCCCAGAAATCATGAAGAAGCCTATGTCAACCTTCTTGGATACCACTCTACCAACGTGCAAATGGTGAGAGTAATTTTTGTTTTCAGTTACTATTGTAGTAACAAAGTTCATTATATTTTTACATAGGTATGTGATCCTTATAATAATTGCATTAACTAATTTATTGGTTTTTGTCATTCCTCTTTCTGCTTTTCGCATATTTTGTTTTGTTTAGCTGTGGTGCCACCTTTCCTTTATTTTAATAAAATGGAAATTTGTGTTGTCGATTATCGTAAAAACTGAGTTAGAGATTTGCATAATCGATAGTGCAAGCGACAAAATTCGCAAGTTTGCGATGCGACAAATCGTATCGATAAAATTTACAGAATTGCATTACACATAGAGAAGGATCTGTACTTGGTATTTCCAAATAGCGCCAAACAGCGAGAAGAAGAAACGAATGCAGCAATGTTATTAAATCGCCTATAATCGTGTAAGCGGTGTCTACGCCAGTAAAATAGAAAAAAAGTAAGAAAGTAAGTGATCGCAATGTACCACTCGCCATTCACGGTTACGCTCCGAGCTGCATCATCTATGAAAAATTACGACTCAAAGATGACGCCGTGTGTCACATAGTGGAGTGGCAGAGAACCAACCACAGGAGGGGTGCCGAATCAATAATTTGCGGTCATTACTAACACTGGCAGATACGGCTGGGATACTTTCCTCTGACCGCACTCCACGTAGCGTGTTGGTAGCTCACCATGTACCTCTTAAACGAGCATGAATTTTATTATACAATTGAACCATCTGCAAGCATTGTTCGTTTGTAAGTCGTCGACTAGGACTGAATTGACGCGTTATTACTTTTTTATCAGGGTCCTGATTATGAAAAAAATTACTATTATTCTAAATACGTGTATGGTAGAATGAACGAAAGGAGTATATAGACCAGGCCCGTGATCCTCAACTATGTCTTCCTATTTGTATGATTGATGGTGTGCTGCGTTATGGTTGAGTATCACAGATATAGATGAACGAACTGTTGATCTGAAAGTAGATGTTAGAATGGGAGTCGTCCCGTGGGAGCTCCGTGGAATATAAGAGGTATAGGGGTGGTTACCCAGAGAGGGTAGGGGTGGATAAAAAACACTACCGTCAAGGCTTGGAGCGCAGTAAAAAGCGGCTCTGTGTAGTTTAAGACCACAACAAGGGTCAACTCTAGTGCGTGGAATCGGCTGCCTTAAGTGTCGAGTACTGGCAGAGTTAAGGATTTTGATATGTTAGTCGACTAAAACCGTTATTATACAGATTTGACCTCGACATACCCAACGTATGTCCTGCATGCAATGGGACCGCGCACGACACTAAACGACAGTTTGCGTGCCCCTTAAAGCTTAATCGCTTTAACCCTTCTTTAACTTTGGTTCTAACCCGTCGAAACAAATCGTTTCTTGGACCTCCCGTTGGTTGTGATAGACGGACGACATATATCCCGTGTTCTTGACGTGCGTACAATCCGAGGACTCAATATCTTGTACCAGCAAAGATACCGCCTCTGTATAGCAAAGAACAACAACATCACCAGGGTTTTCTACACTCCAGCTCTCAGATCATCAAGAATTTAAAATAATACCTTCAAATGTAAAAATTTTTCGAGTATCCATTTATAACTGCTAATGTTATTAATGCTAATTTATTAGGTAAATCTCGAATATTAGTATATGCCGTGTAGATTCTGTAACTACGGATTTCTGCGACATTTTCTTCTTCACTTCGAGCTTGTATCATCGAAAACAAATTTTCAAAAATTTTAAAGCTTTTCCATCTATCAACTGTGTACAAATTGCGGCATTGAAACCAAAGTGATTCTTTTATTTCCTAAACGTCGTCGTTTTGATAGATAGACAGATTTGAAGATAGTTAAATAAGAACTTAGGTTCGGATTTTTGGTTGAAAAATAACCAAATAATTGAAGACCTCGTGTAGATTAAATTTTATACTATTCTTTATAGATATCCATTACCTTACATACACGATTTAAATATTAATTTAAAACAGTATTTAACTTTTTTTTGTTTAATTTTTTTTTTTTGGCGGAGCGATTTGCTCACAAATGCCAGGTTTTTACTCCTGGTTGGTTTGTATTCAGGAGTGTAGAATGATGTCTACTGGATATGTTTATTTCTGCTACGTTTTGTATTTTTTAAGTGTTATTTTCAATCGTAGACTATTGTATAGGTGTTTCTTTAGCGATTTTTATGAAAAGTGGCATGTCTCCTCTTGGTTCCTGGTTATTGTTTGTTTGACAGTTCGTTTTGACATCTTTTACGAGGTGCTTAGCATTATTTGAAAGTAAGCATGTGTGTATACCACTTATGACTCGGAAAGTGAGTGGTTAGGTGGAGGTATATTACAGAAAGTCAAGGACCATTTTTGTATTTTATATAAGTTAAGTTATTTTTTTGTTGTTTAATAGG